TTGCAATAATTCTCTTATTTGTGACTCCTAACTACTCTATCCGGTGGATTGTTCCTTGCTCATCGGTCGTCCATTATTATTGGCGGTTGAACCGTTCGCTAGGCCTGGCTATTCTGTCGCAGATGTCCCATCACCAAATGTGGTGAGATCACTAGTGCGTCGTTGATCAGCGTGGCACCTGACACACCGCATTTCAGAGCAGAGTCGATAGAATGAAGTGGACGGTATCGATGGTGTTTTTGGTTCGGTCACCTGCAACTGTCTAAATCAGATGCGGTTACATTACTTAGGGAGAATCATCCCAGCTAGACGCAGTCAGATAGCCACCACACATCAAGGAATGTGTTGAACAGCCATTTCTCTCAATAAAATCCACCAACAGCGACTATCCACCTGCAACATACAAGATTCCAACTTGTGGTCTGCTTCACGCTAGAAGACTTAATCTGCTGAGTGACGTATGATGGATCCCGCCCACCGCTGTGCGTATTCATCATCACCATCAACAGAAGTACATCAGCCATTTGAACTGATGCTTCGCTGCCATACAAACATGCGGACCTATGAAATAAAGAATATGAAGAGGGAGAGAAGGCGGACTTACCTGAAAACATTAATGTCCTAAGCAAACATTCAGGGTCAAGGCGCCTACATCTTGTGTAGACAACATACCGTCACAAACAGCTGGCTATCGTGCAAAGATAAGGCGGCATCGGCGAGACAGCTTCCTTGCGACTTTCACTGCCACTCGTCATAATCAGCCATTACCCAGCAGATAACTCAGCACCAAACACACTTTAAACAGGCAATCCAATTAGGAGACGGCAGCGGACGTGCCACCGGTGTCGGTTGCGAGCCATGTCCTGTAAAGTCTCGAGCCAAGCACAAGGCGAGTCACGTGGACTCCAGCTCGGAAGGCGAGACGGACCAACGGCACCCAGTTTGGTCGTCCGTATCTTCATTTCCCGCTGCCAAGTCAACTTCTGTCCACCTCGAGCCTTGCGCCACCCTACACCTGGTAGACTAAACAAGGCCCTCCTAGGTAAGCGGTGACCAGGCATACGTAGCACGTGCCTGAGCCAACGCAACTTATTCAGTGCGATCTGTTGTTCTAGGGAGCTAGCATGATTATCACTACCTAGTACTCGCCTACGCACATCATCGTTGCGGACACGCTGGTGCCATCCGACACCAGCAATGCTTCGCAGACAACGATAGTCAAAGACTTGAAGGCGCCTCAGATCTTCAGACCGAAGGGGCCAAGTCTCACTACCATAGAGCAGAACGGCCCTCACTGTGGCCTTGTATACCAGGCCTTTCAGACGGAGGGAAACTCCCTTCTGTCGCCAAAGATGCCGCAGGTTCAAGAAGGTAGCTCTGGCTTTTGCAATGCGTGAGCTGACGTCAGTTTCTATGCGCCCATCATTGCTGATGCAGCTGCCAAGATAAGTGAATTGATCAACCACCTCGAGTTCCTCGTTATCAAGCGTCAAGGGGTCATCAAGTGGCTGGTGGTCCTGCAACAACACTTTGCACTTTGAAGGTGCGAAGTGCATACCAAGTAATGGGACCACTCTGGACAGGCTATTCAGGGTTGATTGTGCCGCCCCAACATCGTCGAAAAGCAAGACGATATCGGCCGCATAATCTAGATCAACTAATCTTTCCAGGCAGCACTTTAACGCCTACATCGTGAGATTCCGCAAGGGAACACTCCATGATAGAATCCACGACGAAATTGAACAAAAACTGGCGAAATCGAACAACCCTGACGAACGCCACTTGTGGTCGGAAAGCTATCCGATAGGACACCGTAGACTCTGACGCGGCCTGTAGTGTTCGAGTACAGAGCACGAAGGATGTTCACATATTTCGTGGGAACACCTTTCCGCACAAGTATTTCGAACAGAATGCATCGATCGACCTGAATCGAACACACTCTTGAAATCGAGGAACACAGCTATTGTCGATCTGCGTTATGAGTGACGCTGCTCTAGCACTTGCCGCACAGTGAATATATGGTCCATACAGACACGCCTTGGGCGGAAACCGGCCTGCTATTCTCTAATCCGAGATTCCCGTTCCGCAGTGAGGCGACGAACGATGATCGAGGACAATAATTTTGTCACAACTGGCGTTAAGCTAATACCCCTGTCGTCAGAACAGTCTGTGCGACTGCCGTTCTTGTATATTGCCACTATAATCGATTCGCTTTAATTATCCGGGACAGTCTCTTCCTTCCAGATACATTCGAATAAGGAGGTCAGTGCTTTGCAAAGGACCTCACCTCCATCCTTAAATAGCGCAGGTGGGAGGGAATGCGGGCCAGCGACACGAAAACGATTGAGGGCTGTGATCGCGTTTCGGACCTCGGCCTCCGACGGAGGCGCTCAATTAACCGTCCATGGCTCGTCCTGCAACAGATGAGTAAAGAAAGTTCCGGGAGCAGAGGGCCAGCTGAACTGATCTTGAAAATGTTCCGCCCAACGAGCCATACGGCGCTCCTTACTTTGTATCAGCACATCCGCGCTGTCTCTGATTGTCTCACTGACGCCTGGTTTTCTGGGACCAGTGGTGTGGATTAGCTGGAAGAGCTTGCGGTGATTGCCTACTGCTCCTGCCTCCTCCATTTCTTGAGCCCGACTGCTCCACCAGGCTTCCTTGTCAGCGCGTAGGCTCCGCTTTAGTTCACGCCTAAAAGCCCGGGAGGTGTCTTCTAGATTCCAACAGGTTCACCGACCTATCGGATATCCAGTGACTGGTGTGGTGACGATGGATAGTGCCACAAGCAGATGCTCCTGCGTCGTGCATGGTGGCCGCATCCTATTCCACTGAAACTCAGTGTCATTAGGACAAGACAGCGAAGGTTCGGTACGCCGTGCGTCTAGATAGGATTGCTAATCGTGCGCCTCCCGGTAAAGTTCATGGAGAAACGACAGCGTACCAAGGCATGATCAGAGTCGACACAGGTACTCCAGTATGAGCGCCAATCCAGGATGGAACCACGCCATCTATATCTTATGGCTATGTGGTCAATTTGAGTCCATCGCTCGCCAGCTACAGGAGGACGCCAAGTGGCATCTCGGCGCCCGCTGTGTCTAAAAGCAGTGCTACTAAGAAACAACTAGTGTTCCGTACACAGTTGCAGCAGACGCTCACCGTTGTCAGTCCGTTCGGAGTTGAGCCCATAATTACCACCCAGCTGAGCTCCTGAAGAGCTCAGACGCCCTACTTGTGCGTTCATATCCCATGCAAGTACTATAATATCTGAACTAGTAGCACTGCGTAGTAGCGCGTTCAGTTCGTCATAGAATGTGTTCTTGACAGCATTAGAACTGCAGTCGATGGGAGCATAAGCGGAAATCACAAACAAACAGCGTTTTGTATTGCTTCTTGAATCAACCTTAGCTAATATCGTCAGACGGGCTGCACATAAACGGCTGTTCACCGGAATCCAATCAATCAACGATGGGTCAGCCTTGGAGCTTGGAATGATACCTACACCAGCTTGACCCGTGAGTGCTGCATTGGCGTCTCCGGATGCGTACAACCAATAACGAGAGGATAAGCCAGGTGCAGTTAATTCAATAACCTCGTTAGGGTCATTGATCCTAGTTTCGGACACACTACACACACCAATACCCAGTGTGTGCAAGGTGCGTGCGAGTGCAGCCTGTTGACCAGTTTGTCTTAGAGTGCGAACGTTGAATGTCGCCATGGAAGCGGGATAACGTGGCTTTATAAGGGACTTTTGCCGATAGGCGTCCGATAGGTGTTGTGGGATGGTGGCTGCAGATGGTTGTACTCCAGTGGCACTTCGGTTGCTGTCAATTAAGCTGGGAATTATAGAAGGAAGGTTAGTAATGGGGGTCGGGATGGGAGTAAGAGAACAAGGTGAAAAAGAAAGAAAGGAGGCACCAGCAGTAGCATGTTTTCGCTTATCCACCCTGCTGTATGCAGCAGATAAGGCGACCCTTGATAATCTGCGCGACGGCCGATGCAGGATGAAGTTTATGTTTGAAGAAAAAGTCATGGTTGTATGTGGGCTGAGATACTGCCAGGGCGCCCAGATCTAGACAGGAGGACGATTAGGGTCCTCATCCAAATCCTTTGGCTCAAAAGCCTGTCCGCAAGGCAGCGGGGAGGTGGCAATGATTTAGTTTTACAGAAATGGACGTCATCAAATTTCAAACCCTCAAACTGGAGGACCAGGAGACTGAGTTTATCTGACCTCTCACCATTGACCAACCTGGTAGGAGTAGCTCTCAAGGTGCCCGGAGGCACCACCCAGTATAGCTCAATGGGTCAATGAGGTACGCAAACCGTCGCACCACGTTAAGGTCCAGTCTCCTTGCGTATCCAAAATGTAGTGAAAGGTAGGGCTGACTTTGGTGTCGCAAGCCTTAGGGTAAATCACATAACTTTGAGGAAACGATTAACGGGTGTTCAAAGGTTTGTCAAGGGATTAGTCAAATTAGTGAAGCTCTTCCACATAAGCTCAATATGTTTCTATCGGTTTCCTCACTACCAACTTTTATGATCCTAATTTGAGTAAGGATAGCTGGATTTGAAGCATATAGGCTGGTGAAAAACAGCCGATGAGCTGAATTGAATTGAGTTATGTAACAACCAAAAAGGAGTGGGACAAGTCACTAGGGTTACGAACCTAATGCTCGTTGCGTGTGAGATATTAGGATGCGAGGCAAACAGGAAATAAAAAGAAACGCTCTCTGAGGGGTGTCCGTTGATAAGGGACCCTGAGTGCAGCTGCGTAACAGATGGACAGTACCAAGGTATGGAATCTCCCGATGCTGGTGCAGTGCGGCAAGAAGTAATGGTAACACAGAAAGTAGAGAAAGGTGGTTTTTCATGTGGAATTCTCGGCTGGATGCCCGTGAACAACGGTGGCAACGGTTCAGAAATAAAACGAACGCTATGTTCAAGCTATGAACAGAAATCAAAGAGGCGAGTGGAAGTCATCCGTAAACAGATGTACTTACGTGATGGGTTCTAAACTAAACAGTAAGGCGTAAATAAGTTTCAGTTTTGTCCATGGGCCCAGAGAATTGAAGGCGCGTTGTAGTGTCACGGAAATAGGGCGATCGGCCAGAACCAGGTGACAGTGTGGTAATTTCGAGGCCTAGAGAGTAAGACATTGGACACCTGAACAATCATCAGTTTACTAGAAGCATAGACAAGCACAGGGTTGACATGAGTTAAAAAGTGGATGGAGACACGGATCATAGCTGTAGTGTGAGTTGTGCGAGTACAACGATAATGAGAAAGAGAAATCAGTAAAAATGGCTGTTACCGGCATTTGCCAAAGCATTTACACCTGCATGATTCTTGTGCAAATATGAAATGGGGCAGTAGGTGGCCGAAATGTTTGATGTCGTCACATGCAGCATTTGTTGTGCCAGTTCCGTAAAAGTCAGGCGTCGATTGATAAAGTACTCCTATTTTTGGAATGCATGGATGCAGTGGCTTCAACTAAGAACGAGTAATGCCTGGGAAGACCTGGATATAGGCACCGAACGGGTCGGAAATGTGTTCTAATATGAGCACGCGCGTTGCGTAAGTCTTGTGAAACGATTAGTTAGTTAGTAAAATAGGACAACAGGACAAGCTTGAAATAGAACTCATGTTTACCTCGGCAGCAGCAGCCCGAAATTCCCCACCAGGGGCCATGCCAAGAGTTTCGATCAGATAAGCGTTCAAGCGCAAGAGAAGGTACTGTATAATTCCTTGGGATGCGCCATGCTGTCATTGAAGAGTAAAGCGGAAAATGTCATAAGTATATGATATTTTAAAAGCGCAATTAAAATTTACATCGGGATACCCACTAACACCGTCAATTGGATAGAAAGTAACGATCCGATGAGAAGTAACACAACGCTGGTAGGCCAACATGTTACACAGGGCTTGGGTACTCTGGTGGTGCAACAAACGATACATTATAAATGTGGAAAAGAGGATCAAACTAACTGAACGCTGGGACATAGTAAGTGCGAAGCACTTGGGCACATTCATAGTGGGCCAATGGAGGGGCTCTGCCTGAGGTATTACGAATCCAGTTGAGTTAGGCAACCACCAATCATGTACGTCAGTGTGCTTGGTTCAGGTGTTTGAACTTACGTCCGTGAAATAATAAGGATAATAATACAAGTAACAACTTAAAATGGCTACCTATATTATCTAAGATCCAGAAACAGAAAATGAACGCATGAGCGTTACTGACGTCATGATGGTGCGATATAGAACAGAGCATTTAATCACTTGTTTGGCTGATCCTGAGGGCCTCAACGACAAAGGTAGCTCAACCAGAACGTGATTTTTCATGCCTTCATGCCATGTGCTTGAGTGGCTGGCTTGTGGAACAACCTCCACGTGGTGTTAGCTGGGTGGTTCGGGAGTATCCTGATCCAACGAATGGTTCGGCGGCAGTGCTCCAGAAAGTGGTGGGTTTTTGCCTGGCAAGCGTTCTCCTTATAAAAAACCACACATGTCCGTTTAATAACACTGTGACGTGGCGGATGACTTGCCACTAAATAAAATCACTGCCCCTTGCCTCTCTCTGAGCGGCATTGTAATTCAAGGGTGCGTTGGGCCCCTGGTCCTATGAGGGTCCTAAAGGCGTATGAACCACTTGTTTGGTCACCGGCTCTAAACGGGTTGCGGTACTCTCATATCGTCCTGCTGCCTTGTAGATTAGATCCTAGATAAAAGGCTCGGGGTAGGGCCCCCTAAGACAACTCTCTACTTCGGCCTGGGCAACCGAGTAGTATCACGCCTACTGACGAACTATAGATGGATTACACTACTGCTTTCTCTCTTGCTATGTCTACAGGCTTTACTGTGTCTGCTGCTCAACATTCGCTCACAGATCGTCCCACGTCCAGTTCCTCAACTGCACCTAAATCTTCCCCGGTCACCGTCAAAAGCAGCTCACTGGTCGCATCTGCCAGAGTACTGAGCCAAACGTTTGGTGTTCGTTGCCCGGTAGTCACAACATCCTCACACTCAACCGAAGCTCGAGCTTTCCTTCGTCCATGTTCTCCATTCGGCCTTACAGCGTTCAATGTGCGCACTCTGATGCAGATAGGACGAAAAGCATGTCTAGCCTGAACCCTTGAGACACTCTCGGTGGACATCAGTTGCCTTTCCGAAACCAGGCTGCAAGACGCCAGCACCGTCACCAGAATGACATCTCCGGCAAACTCTGACGTCAAACACCACTTGCGCCTTTCCGGAAACCCAGAGGCTGCCGCTTCTGGCCAAGCTAATATCGGGGTTGCACTGAGTGACAGAGCTGAGGTCGCTTTGTTTGACTGCATCCCAGTCAACAGCCAGCTATGTGCAGTCAGACTATGAGGTTCACGTAATTTAAGTAAACGTCGACATGTTACGTGTGCTGTTTGTCATCTCTACCTACGCTCCTACAGACTGCAGCCTGGATGCTACATGAGCTTTTGCGTTCCGCTAAAGTCTGATATTGTCATTCTTGCCGGAGATTTTAACGCACGAGTGGGCCGTCTGCTACCAAGTGAGCACCATATTGGGGGTAGTTTGGGGCTCGGCAGCAGCCTATCAAACAATGGAGACAGACTACTGACTCTTTATTATGATCCTCGCTTGTTTCTTTCGAACACCGATATTCGGCACTTGATGAATCAGATTGCTATCTGGCGCCCGCCTTCTCAAACGCAAGAGCGGTCCCAGCTTGACCACATAGCAATAAGCTACATATGGTGCGGAAGCGTAACAGACTGCCGATTGTACTGGTCAACTTGTCTGGACTCCGATCACGTACTGGTTAGCGCCAAAATTTGCATGCGTTTCCAAGGATCATCCAGACGTACGCACTACCGACCGAACGTCTAAAATCTGCAACATCATGCGACGTTAGCCGAGTACCAGGCTTCTATGTCAAAACTACTTGCTTCATCCTGGGACGATGGTCTCAATTCGGAATGGATGCGCATCAAAGACGCGTTCACTTCTGCCAGTACTGTCAGTTGTGGATTTGCTGTCGGTGTACCGATCGATGGTGCTGTTCTGTCTTCTATAACGCAGCGAAACCTGGACGCTGTACCGGAAGGACGTCCGGTATTTGGAGTGATTCCACCAGCAGTGTCTGGGACAGATTCTGCACATGGGTTGGAGTGACCGAGTTACTGACACGGAAGTGCTGCCCGGCAGTGACATGTGTGCAGGGTACTGCATAATACTCCTAAAGCATATTAACCGTGGGATTAGACGAGGATACCCAATCAGCTGCTCCATGGTAGTGTTCCACCAGTTTGCAACGCGAAAGTTCAGTGGTTCCATCCAGTATAGAGCCGGACTACGACCCAGCGTCCACCTTGTGTACATCTGGTACGCAAGATTCGCCAAAAGCTAGACAGCAATGCAGCTGCTGTGCAAGCTGAAAGAGTGTAGGCCGGCTCCGCTGAGAGAGGTGACTCTCCTACAGCTGCCGCCGGGTTTACACTGGATATCCGTCGCAAAGAGACTGGACCTTAACGTGGTGCGACGGTTTGCGTACCTCATTGACCCATTGAGCTATACTGGGTGGTGCCTCCGGGCACCTTGAGAGCTACTCCTACCAGGTTGGTCAATGGTAAGAGGTCAGATAAACTCAGTCTCCTGGTCCTCCAGTTTGAGGGTTTGAAATTTGATGACGTCCATTTCTGTAAAACTAAATCATTGCCACCTCCCCGCTGCCTTGCGGACAGGGTTTTGAGCCAAAAGATTTGGATAAGGAAGCTAATCGTCGTCCTGTCTAGGTCTGGGCGCCCTGGCAGTATCTCAGCCCACATACAACCATGACTTTTTCTTCAAACATAAACTTCATCCTGCATCGGCCGTCGCGCAGATTATCAAGGGTCGCCTTATCTGCTGCATACAGCAGGGTGGATAAGCGAAAACATGCTACTGCTGGTGCCTCCTTTCTTTCTTTTTCACCTTGTTCTCTTACTCCCATCCCGACCCCCATTACTAACCTTCCTTCTATAATTCCCAGCTTAATAGACAGCAACCGAAGTGCCACCGGAGTTCAACCATCTGCAGCCACCATCCCACAACACCTATCGGACGCCTATCGGCAAAAGTCTCTTATAAGCCCACGTTATCCCGCTTCCATGGTGACATTCAACGTTCGCACTCTAAGACAAACTGGTCAACAGGCTGCACTCACACGCACCTTGCACACACTGGGTATTGATGTGTGTAGTGTGTCCGAAACTAGGATCAATGACCCTAACGAGGTTGTTGAATTAACTGCACCCGGCTTATCCTCTCGTTATTGGTTGTACGCATCCGGAGACGCCAATGCAGCACTCACGGGTCAAGCTGGTGTAGGTATCATTGATTGGATTACGGTGAACAGCCGTTTATGTGCAGCCCGTCTGACGATATTAGCTAAGGTTGATTCAAGAAGCAATACAAAACGCTGTTTGTTTGTGATTTCCGCTTATGCTCCCATCGACTGCAGTTCTAATGCTGTCAAGAACACATTCTATGACGAACTGAACGCGCTACTACGCAGTGCTACTAGTTCAGATATTATAGTACTTGCATGGGATATGAACGCACAAGTAGGGCGTCTGAGCTCTTCAGGAGCTCAGCTGGGTGGTAATTATGGGCTCAACTCCGAACGGACTGACAACGGTGAGCGTCTGCTGCAACTGTGTACGGAACACTAGTTGTTTCTTAGTAGCACTGCTTTTAGACACAGCGGGCGCCGAGATGCCACTTGGCGTCCTCCTGTAGTTGGCCAGCGATGGACCCAAATTGACAACATAGCCATAAGTTACAGGTGGCGTGGTTCCATCCTGGATTGGCGCTCATACTGGAGTACCTGTGTCGACTCTGATCATGCCTTGGTACGCTGTCGTTTCTTTATGAACTTTACCGGGAGGCGCACCAAATCTCCCCTGCGATTGGCAACTGAGAAATTGTCTCAGTCCTCGGTCAGGCAAGCCTATCAAGAAGCACTGTATACCGAACTTCTGCTGTCTTGTCCTAATGACACTAAGCTTCAGTGGAATAGGATGCGGCCACCATGCACGACGCAGGAGCATCTGCTTGTGGCACTATCCATCGTCACCGCACCAGTCACTGGATATCCGATAGGTCGGTGAACCTGTTGGAATCTAGAAGACACCTCCCGGGCTTTTAGGCGTGAACTAAAGCGGAGCCTACGCGCTGACAAGGAAGCCTGGTGGAGCAGTCGGGCTCAAGAAATGGAGGAGGCAGGAGCAGTAGGCAATTACCGCAAGCTCTTCCAGCTAATCCACACCACTGGTCCCAGAAAACCAGGCGTCAGTGAGACAATCAGAGACAGCGCGGGCGCGCTGATACAAAACAAGGAGCGCCGTATGGCTCGTTGGGCGGAACATTTTCAAGATCAGTTCAGCTGGCTCCCTGCTCCCAGACCTTTCCCTACTCATCTGTTGCAGGACGAGCCATGGACGGTTAATTGAGCGCGTCTGTCGGAGGCCGAGGTCCGAAACGCGATCACAGCCCTCAATCGTTTTCGTGTCGCTGGCCCGCATTCCCTCCCACCTGCGCTATTTAAGGATGGAGGTGAGGTCCTTTGCAAAGCACTGACCTCCTTATTCGAATGTATCTGGAAGGAAGAGACTGTCCCGGATAATTAAAGCGAATCGATTATAGTGGCAATATAC